AAAGAAAAAGTATTAGTTCATTGTCAAATGGGTATTTCTCGATCATCTTCCATTGTTCTCGCTTATCTAATGAAGTAAAACTTATTTTTATGTTTACAATCGATGAGAAATATTTTTTCTATTCTAGATATCATCATGATACTTTAATGGAAGCTCACGATTTTTTACTTGATCGTCGTCCTATATCATGTCCAAATCCTGGTTTTCTTCTGCAATTGATTCGATACGAAAAGAAATTACGTAATAGTGGAGTAATTGATAAACAAAATAATAATGATGATAAACAGAATCCAATCAAAACACTCGATATACCAAATACTTCCAACATCGAGTGGTCGTTCGACTAGAAAAGATCTTAGTTTGATACAAATGATGTAATATTAATTTCGCTATTTTATTTCAACAGAAGGTCTATCTTTATAATAGTGAATAATTTTTATTTATGATATAATTCATTTGTTGAGTATGAAAAACGTCTTTTACTAATAAAACGATAAGAAAAACAAAGTTTTCTATTAGTCATCAAAGCTTGTGAAATAGAAAGGAAGAAGAAAAATATTCAAAAATTTATTTCATTGCAAACATGGAAATTTCGAAAAAACATTCTGTGTATGCTGCGCAGTTTTATGGTTCATTAGGATATAAAAATGCAAGATAATAAATAGCCGAACTGCAAATATTAATGTCAGATGTAAGTTTAAAAGATATTATCAAAGAAGAAACTGAAACAATCATGCGGCAAACTGTTTTACTTAATATTCCACCACGATTACAATGGGATAATGACAATGGTTATTGTGGTGAAACAGCTCTTCAGTCTATCGGTATATTTTTTTGTCTATGAACAGTAAAAATAATAAGTATTTCATTTGATTAGATCTCTATTATGGTGCCTGGATTTCTCAGCAATTGATTCGTAATATAAATGAAGGTGAATATCTATTCCAACCAGTGTCATTCAATGATCATCGAGATCCATGGCGTACTTTGACATTACTTCATTTCACATACAATGAATGGGATTGGATTAATTCTCCTCAACCACAATTTCGTGATTTTTATCATTGGATGAAACGATCAACTTTACGACGACATCCTGTCATATTTGGTATTTTTCTTCCCGATGAGGATGAAACAGATTATGATCATATTGTTCCAGCAGTTAGCATACGATATCAAAATGAAGATCAATATGATCCACATGATACAATCATCTATTATGATTTATATAACGCTGAGCAAATCGAGAAAAATCTCAACAAAGAGGAATTTGGGGCAACTAGAGAAACTATCAATGATAAAGAAGATGCTGATGATGGATGTTTACCATTAGATGTAAATATTTTCATTATAATTTGATCATTTAACATAGATAAAAGTGTTTATATGATATTATAGATCGATTATGGTATAGCTATTACTGGCATTGTGGATGAAGATTCCGTAACATTACCAGTTCGCTTATCTGTTTCTGAATGGGATGAACCTAATCCAATATTTAGACAACATTCTAGAGAAATGCGTGGAACTATTACAGTAAATAATATGACAAATAGATGTTTCTATGCTCTCTTGCGATATTCATCTTACGAATTTGTGTCAACTAGAGGAAATGCAAATGATTTTCTACTATCTGATTTTGATATGAGACATGAGTTTATGGCAACCAGCACGGACTATGTGTATGAAGATCCAATGGCAATATCAACAAGTGGATCTGTCTACTATCGTTGTATTTTAATATCTGAGTAATTCTAGTTAATATTAATTTCCAAGACATTCACTTTTGATATCATATTTTGGAATTCTCAGTAGCTATTTGTCAAAGAAATTTTATTAGTTACTATAATAAACAGATATAATTTTGTTTTTTAAACATCGTTGTACCATCAACGATAATATCATTTATATGAATTTCTTCTCCGCTCGTATATTTACTGACTTTCCTTCTCCTTTTGTCGGATGAATTTTCACTCTCGTGTTTTTATAAACACTGCAGTTACTTCTCTGTTTAGACAATTCTACTAAGTTGGATTGGAGCAGTAAAAGAGGAGAAAAACTGTTCGGGCTTCACCGGAAAAAGATCAACAGTCGTTTCATCGAAGAAAAATCAATAGTCGCTTCTATTTCTTCACATCTACTACATAAAAAGCAGCTCCACACATAAGACAAACACTATTCCTTTTCACACGTTCAACTGCCAGTAAGTAACTATAACAGGAGACGGTACCTGTAAGTAGAGTCTGAGAGACGAAGTGAAGGGTTACGTGGCCATTTCTGATAAAATTAAGTTGCTTGATAGTCTAAATCTTTGGAATCGAGATGTGAATGCAAATAAACCTATTTCCCATACTAGTATTCAGTGATTGACCTTAGTAAAACATATTGTAGAAATCGAAGGCTTTTGACGAGTCAAAATCTGTAGTAAAGTACTTAAGAGTCATTGCACAAGAGCAACGATCTGCCCTACTCAATGGGAAATTTTAGGTTCGAGCGAACTCAATATTTTTTCGAGAAGCTCATTCTTTTAGACCTAGAACTAAACGTATATACCTTCGAACATGTCCAGACTAGTGAGGGAATCGTTCGAAGTGATTTACCACTTTATTGCTCATATTTTTAACATATCAAAGGCATCTCTATGCTTGCTTAACCCAAGAAGAATTTGAGCCCATGATCTCTTTTACGTGAAACAAGGTGGGTCGATGTGAGTGTGTATGAAGTGCGGGTGAAGAAGAGACGTACATCCACACCCTCATCGGCAAAGCTCTATGAGCTTCGAGTACGAAACTGTGCTTTTTCTTAAGACCTATGTTTTTATCGCTTTTCTGGTTCTTTACAGTGTTTTGTATTATCCTTAGCGAGGAAAGGTCTTTGGGAGACTGGATGTTCTATTCGTGGTCGCTGTTGAATGATCTAAAAAGTGGGGTATTAATCAGCCAAATCTATTGTTCACTACAACTCTGCATGCCGTGCACCGTACATCTCTACTTAGATTATCACTTTCTATCAGCTGTTAGTCAAATATTTTTGTACTTTGAATATTTAGAACATAATATGGCGCAAGCGGATGAAATTAATGACAATTCGAATAAAATAATCCGTGTATTTTATTCGCGTTCGGACTCGATTATCTGTCAACGCATTGTCGACGCACTTCGAGAGTCAAATTTCAATATCTTGTTGAATATGGATCGCGAAGAAAACGGTCAAGATCAAGAAGAAAGCGGTCAAGATCAGAAACAAACCGGTCAAGATCAGGATGAAAAAATCAAACAAGTGGTAAATGTGAGAAATACTCTCAAAGGAGTATCTGTTCTTCTTGTTCTCATTTCCAGGAAGTACGCTGAATCAAGTATTTGTGAGACAGTACTCACAGTTTCGTCTATGCAGGCGAAGCCAATACTTCCAATTATTATTGACAAAGATTATGAGCCCGTCGGATGGATTGGTTACGTACTTGCAGGCCACTCATATGTACGATGGCATGGTGATGGAAAATTTCCTTCCTTTATCAACGATATTAAAAAACACATACTCGAATTGCTTCCGCTAGATTTTCCGACAGCATCCGATAGTGATATCCTTGCAGAATTTGATTCAATTATTGCCTTGTCCGACAACAGCGACAGTTTGAAGGCGGATGTCGACAGAATCTGTCAATCAATATGTAAATGCATGCAGTCTGCTGAAACCAAAACGGAAAATTCGGAAACGTTGTTACCTATCGCTGTTGAGATTTTTCTCAAATATAATGTGATTATGAGTCGAATTGATAATCGTTTTGTCGAGCTCAATGGACAAACAGGCGCCGAAATAAGTTTTTTTCTCGACGAAACAATAAAAAATGCAGCAAAATATAATCCGTTTGAAGGAAATCAGAAACGAGCCCGAGAAGTATTTTCTCGAATATTTAATTCTTTGGCCACGTTTCCAACGACGATTTATTTTTTGAATGACGATTTCATGTTAAAAAATGACAGCCATGGGCACATTCTGTACTGGGGAGCGCGCGTGCTCCAGTTAACATGTTTTCGACCAGTATTCAACAGTGAGCAAGATGCTGCCAAGTTTCCTGAACAACAGATTGTTCTTCAAATATGGTTAAAATATATTGACAAGAATATACAAATGTCGTCTCACAGTATTCTCGTAGATAGATTATTGGGTATACTTTGGAACTTATCGGCTAACGTAAGCTTAGTGCCACTTTTTGTGGATGCATGCTTTCCATCCACCGTTGTTAGTTGGCTTTCTCGGAAGATTTGGAGTATCAATGGCAATACGATATTTTACGCACTATGTATGGTTTATAACTTTGCTCGACATGACAAAGGAGCCGACGCATTGAACCTCTTGGGAACGACTGATCTACTAATAAGTAGAAAGCACATTCTTCTTGAATTAACGGGCCGCCCTGACGCTTCCACTGTATTTGATATAACTCTCGCTTTGCTCTACGAGCCAGAAACTATCGATGATGAAACACTAAAAATCGAACCAATCCTCAAAGAGTTGCTTACTAAAACACTATCTACTTCTCGACTACCAGAACTGAGCTGTGGTATTGTTCCATTCAGAGAATTCCTCCTTGTTTTCAATACTTTATTCATTAACGAAGAACTCATTCGTAGAAGTATAAAGCAAACTGTCGATGGCAAACCTATCAATATGGAATCCTTTCCGAACCTTCTCATGGACACTCCAAACTTAGACGTTCTCGCTCGAACCTTGCTATTAAATATTATATATCGGATGACATCCGTCACAGATCTCAAACATAAACTTGATCAGAATCAAGCGTTTTTGGACAAGCTCCAAGATTTAAAAAGTCAAAGTATGGAAAATATTTACCTTCCGAAACATACAGTGAAGTTGCAGGATGCTGTGAATGGAATTTTGAGAAATCTTGGTAAGATCGATCGAATTTCCGAAGGGAAGGTTCTACCTCGAGCTGTATCGCGTGATCATTCGACGTCCATGAAAAAGAAAGTGATGGTGAGCTACGCACACGAAAATCAAGGATTTTGTAAGGCTTTAGTCAATAAATTGAAGAAATGGAAGTTTGATGTGTGGGTGGACTACGAACGTCTCGAAGAAGCTGATGGCGATCAACATGAGCATATTGTAGAAGCCATGAAAACTGTCTATAAAATAATCTGCATTATGACCAAGGACTATTTTCACAGTACACCGTGTAAGAACGAATTAAATTATGTACTTGATAAGCGAGACCCAGAGAATTCTCTGATTCCTATTCGCATTGGTAAAAAATATGAACCACCTGAGGAATTCTATTACCGTTTCCGTAAGATTACATATATTCGATTCAACGAGTACCCAGGTTTTGATTCCAGAAACGGGCCAGAGGATAATGATCCTTCATTCGAGGAGAGGATTAAAAAGCTTCGAAACAGAATTTTACATAGTATTACAGAGAAGAAGCCGGTCAAAGTCAGCAACCGTGATAATCGGCAAAGTAGTGACATCGTGATCTCCCCCACAGATAGCGAAGAAAATAACAACAATGAAATTCTAATTACTGCCCCAAAAATACCTCTTCGTGAATGGACGAAAGACGACATTGTTAAATGGCTTGCAAGTATTCCTGTCACGCGTAAACTCACAATTCTATACAATTTCCAGTCTTTAGAGGAATTCTTGGCATATGCATGCGATTTGAAAGAACATGAAGACATTAACTACATTGATATCAAGGAAGCATTTTACAGTAAATATGAATGTCCTTTACAACGCAAAGACTTTTTAATACTAAGAGATGCGTTTGATCAATTAATGAAGAACAATCCATCTATGAATGATCTTGAAAGTCAAGCCCTTACACACGACGAAGCTAATCCCGTTAAATCAAAGACTTGTGCACTCATGTGATTTTTCCGAAAATATTCTTTCATCTGCTCTGTAGGGCCGGTGAATGATTATCAATTTTTTTCAATCATCCTCGTCCACATACATTTACTCTCAGAACCTTACTTTCTAGAACTATCTTGATATGAGACTAGCTACTACAACTACTTTTACGTCAACTAAGATGATCTTCAAATGGTTTAAATCAATATTCCCTCCACTGAAGAGAGAATCTTATGAAAAAAATATTTTATGTGTTTGTTGCAGGTCAAAGGTCAAAAACCCATCAGGCTACAGTAAATATAGTCAAACTTTGTCCAATTCCCGAAAAAGAGTGGGAGTTAGCTCTTCTAAGTCCTAGTCTCTCTTGCTCTCTAAAAGACAGGCCCCGTGTTTTTCCTTGGAAACAAGGAGGGAAGGATCGAGATAAGCTACATTCGCTTGCACTTATATTCACCGAGACGCCATTGCATGCATTTGTACGTTTCCTCTACAAGGATGTGTATGATGACGTTGGTTATTCATGAATCAACTATCGTTATGTACTTTGAATAAGATACCGATTGTAGTCTACATAAAGAAGTCAATGGGCTGTCTCGTCAAAGTATTGATTAGAAACTATGCATCGTTGAACAGAAAGTCATAGATATTCACCGAAAAATGAGTATGGGTGGGGTGGGTGTGCGTGTACGTCTGAGTGAGTGTGGATGTGTGGGTGTGAGATGTGAATTAGGAGAAGACAGACACCCACATCCACACCCTTTTAATATCTTTTATGCTGTATCAGAAAGCTGTCGTCGTGAACTCAAAGATACTGTTTGTAAATGCAAATATCAAACAATCGAACAATTATAAACTGCTGCAGTCGGAAGAATAATAGCGAGATCACGAAAAAGCAGAAAACTGATGATCTTTGAATTTCGACATGAAACTTTATGTTATGAGATGCCTCAATAAGAGAAGTTTGTTAGGAAATTTTCAAATGTATTGATTGTCTCTCAGCAAAAATATGATTACTCTTGTTTCGAAAATAAATCATGAAATAAAGAGAAGAGAGTTGTAAAACACTGATCGCCAAAATTTATCTTTCAACAAGTTCTTTTATCATCCTTTCCTTTTCACTATCTCATTTCTTTTTCTTGCACTATACAGATGTCGTATTTTTCTTCTTGGTTTTTATCAACCTATATAACATGCAATAAAACATCATATTTAAACTTGAATAAAGTTGAAAAAAGCTACATCGCTTTCATTATAAATCAATCACAAGTAGATATCGAATCAATTAATGATTACCAACAAGAACAACTCGTTTCTCTGAAAGAGGCTTGTCAACCACTTAAAAATCAACTTCAACCTTGATCAAAATATCTCAAATTAATATTTACAGCACTTTTCAAATTATTGAGAAGAAGATGAAGTGACATGGTGGACAATAACTTCAGTAGCATCATCAATATATTTGGAAAGCGAAAATGTTCAAATGGTATTTGAAATTGAAACTAAATTTGGTAAATCTATTCGAAAACATTCACATCTTCAAAAATGATGATATGCTCTGAGTGAATCACTCAATGTTCTTTCTATATTTAAGTGATAATGATACTAACGATTGAGGGCTTTAGTTACTACTTCACCATCACGAAAATTCAAACTAAGAAACTGATTGTTGTAAATGTTATATGCAGTATTTTAAGCAATTTTCTTCATCTATTTATAATGAATAAACTCGACTGATTTCGAAACAACATGTCGAACGAATATAAAGGAAAGGAAAGAAAAAAAAAGTAGCCTATATATTCGAATTCTTTTCTTTTCTTGTAAGTAAACAACATGGATTATACGAAACGAAAATTAACTTCGACCGAATCGTTTGAAGAAAATTCAAAAAAATCACGAAGTAAATTCATTTGATTAATAATATCTAAACTTCTTTTGTTTTTGTATTTTAACCAAGATCAATTAGTAAATTCTCTTGAAAATTTGTCGAATGATCTCTTCTATGAAATATATGATTATCTTGAGGGTTTGAATATTTGTGTAGCATTTTCAAATCTTAATTCTCGTTTTGAACAATTAATTACATGTTCAACGAACCGATATAAAATAATTCTTAATTATTCAACAACACAAAAATTATTTTGGAATTATTCAAAGAAAATCAAACATCAAATTTATTCAATTTCCTTTCAATCACCAAAAACTTCTATAAATGAATTTTTTCCAATTGATTATTCATATAATAATCTTCAATCAATTTTTATTGAAGATATTAAAAAAAATCAACTTATATCATTACTTAATTATTTACGTGATTTACCTTGTCTTTATTTATTAAATATCAAATCAGGTGATTCGTTTGAAGATTTAAATGAAATTTATCAATTAATATTTTCATTACCAAAACTAAAATCGAACAAACTTAGTTTTTATGGAGATGAACATACCATATCAATGCCAATATCAAATAATCAACAATTAAGTCCTATTACATATCTTCAAATCGCTCATTCGTATACATTTGATGAACTATCTGCATTACTATCTTATACACCTTCACTTCGTCATCTTAATCTTTCACATTCAAGTAAATACGATTCAGATATCGAAGATATTTCACCAATGAATTTGAATGAACTCATTCATTTATCGATATTTTCAAGTGATTTAGACTTCGATGAATTTCAATTTTTTATTGAACTCATTCATTCAAACTTACAAATTCTCCATGTGAGTTTTTTAAAACGAGATATTCGTTTTCTTCATGCTCATCGTTGGCAAAAATTACTTTTAGAAAATTTTTCGCAATTAGAAAATTTTTCATTATGTTATCGTGAACCGGGATATGGTGATAATTATCCGATTTATGATGGAGAATTAAATCAATTCGTTTCACCATTTTGGATTCAACGAAATTTAATTTTCGATATTGAAATTTGGGAATACCGTATTTATTATTTTGTTCGTTCGTTCAAGTAATATTTTATATTTGTATCTTTTTTTTCAAATTAATTTCTTCTTTTTCTAGAAAGAGATGGTATGACTATTCTATTGAACATTCAAAACTAGCTCAATTGACAATAAAATATGTTTATTGTAATGAACTTCCTGATATTTTATTAAATCAAATAAAACGTGTTTTGAATTTCACTCAAATTTATCATTTAAATACTGAACAAAAAATTTCTACTGAAAGTTTAATGCTAATAATTCATTTATTACCTGATCTTATTTCATTAAAAATCACTGCTTTATTTTATTATGAATCAATACTTCAATTTGGAGATCATGAATTTCCTACAACATTTGCATTAGAACATGCTAGTAATATAAAATATGTTTGTTTGGAGATGACATTTACAATGGATGATATTTCATTTCTTATATCATTTTGTCCTCGTATGGAATATCTTACTGTTGAATGTATTGAAAATATGAATATTCAATCATTTTTACGTGAGATTTTAAATAAAATCAATCAAAATCATCATAAATATTTACATACATTATGTATTTATATAATAACAGCACATGAACAAATGATAAAACAATTAAAACAAATGATTGATGATGAAAAACTTTTATTGAATTATACAATTCATCGACAACTTTATAATATTTACTTAAAATGGAAATGATGTTTCCTTCTTTTTATTTTGATTATTATTGTTAGTATTCTCTAGAAGATTTTAACGTTGAAACAAATAAATCATGCACGAAAGAATGCATTTATTTCTTTTAAGATCATATAATGGAGGTTTGGGTGAGATTGATGTGCGAATATGCTAGCTATACCTGCAATACTTTCATTTCAATGGAAAAAGAGAGGCTCGTTCAACTTGTCGAAATGGTACTGGATATGAAAGATTAGTATCGACAGTTATATAAAAAATCACTGGAATCTGATTGCAAGATATTCACTCAAGCTCACTAGCATTGTAAACTGCTGTATCGAAATCCGTCGTTTTATTTTTTCGAATTTTGTTAAATGCAAATCGAGACATAATTTGACCTCGATAAAAAGTTCTCAGATGATCGTCGTACTCGTCGTCATCCTCTATTTGTTCAAGTCCATTGAAAAGACTACGAATGAAGTAGATACTGCGTTATGTGTGTACATATTGCGTTCGAAAAGAATAAAACCTCGATCAGAACAGACATACAGACTCTTGAAGCCATCGAAAGTGTTACTTATATTTTGCTTCTTACAATATGTTCGAAAATGGTTTCTCTGTAGCTATTCTAGTGCGGATTGCTCAACTTCGTGAGCATATAAAAAAATATTCACCAAATATGTTTTTGCACGGCTCAATAATCAAATGAACGCACCAAACTGAGCGAATCTTGAGGGTGTGAGTTAGTTTGATAGGTTGTTAGCCCATCCACACCTACACCCTAATAAATCTCCTTTTTCTTTAAATGTATCTTTTCTATGAATGGTACATTTTTGCATTGATAAAAATCGACAAAGTGCCATTATTTTTAGTGTTGAATTATTTTCAGTTGACATTTTAAATTTTTCTTCTATCTTGGTAAAAAATGAATTCCTTTTTTTTAAAGTATACAGATGAGAACAGATTTTAGTAGATATTATAATTTAGAAGAAAACAATTTCGCGTTTAAATAATGAGACGCATGTTTATTGCTAAATCACCCGGACAAATTTCTAATTTTTCTTGTTTCTTGTTCTTATCTCTCACTGCATACACTCCAGCGACAGCACAAATTGGATTTACTTGTTGAAGTCGTGAGCTTCTCTGCTGATAACCAATTGATCCTTCATGATCACTAGACCAGACAAGTAATGAATGACCAGTTTGTAATTCGATTCCATCTGTCGATATAATATTCCATTTAAAAGTATCGTTTATTGATTCACATGAGAATTGCTCTTGTTCTTCACCTTTTTCATCATAGAAACTCGCCGTAATATTATTTCTGTAGGTTGATTGTACTAAGACATCCTTTAATCGAATCGATTGTTCAAAATGAAAACGATAACCAAATATAAATGATCCATTGTATAATCTTTGTTCTGCTACAGTTGGTAGAGAAATAATTATGTGATTTAAAATAGGACAATCTATTGTTTTCACATCATTACATTTTATGTTTCCAAAATTGTTTATTAAATCTGCAATTGATGTCATATCCACTGGTGAATGAATAAACTTTGTTTCTTGAGTTGTACAACTAGATATTATTTCTTGTTGACTATGAACTAGTTCCTCACAAATGGTACTGATATTTTGATTTGTTTCAAGCAACTGAATCGTATTTCCCGACTTGCAAATACGATTGCAAGACAGTTTTTGATTTTGAATACGATGTAATTGTTCTCGAACATTCATTTCAATGTGATGCAAACGTGATAAAATCGTAGCTTGGTGATCTTCAAGTTCATAGGACAACGTTTGTTTTCGATCTTCTATCATTCTATTTAACGAACGAAATAGATCGGTAAGATCTTCTGATGTGTTTGTATAATTAGTTTTCTGATCTTTCACAACAGTAATAGTAGATTTTGCCAGAGTCATAAAGTTGAGTTCAGCATAATCTAATTGTTGAAGACATGTTTCAATACTAGTTCGTGTTTCATTCATTATTTTGTACATTGGTTCAATCGCTTCTTGATGTTGACTATGTTGATTATCGTCTACAAGACATGAGGAACATATAGGAAGTTTACAATATGTACACCATAGTTTCATAACTTCATTGATATGTTTATTACAGCAATATGCAGCACGTTCAGCTATTGGTACAGTAATATGCATTGGTTTATTATTATGTGCGATAAGACATTTGCTACAAAATTGATGACAACATTCGAGACACCATCGTTCACTAGGATTTTCTGTACAAAAATCACAAGAAACTTTCTTTTCAATTTCTTTATTTTCATTGCATGATGCTAATAAGAGTTCAACCATATTTTTAGCGATTCGATTAACAGGTAAGTCTTTCAGTTGATGTTGAGTCAAAAAAGTACCATCTCTAAGTGGACAAATAAATCGATATTCTGCATCACTATCATCACTGCTAATACTACTATCGTCATCATCATCATTTTTTGTACGATGATTTGCTAGTTGGGTGATACATGCAAAACAGAATGTATGTGAACATGGAAGAAGACGTGGATCATTATAATAATCAAGACAAATCGGACATTTAACTAACTCCGATAAACTTGTTACAGGTATGTTGGAAGTTGCCATCACACACACACACACTTGTTGAAATTTGTTTAACTGTTTACTTGGAGAGTTTTTTTCTTCTTTTCTCTCCATGACCACATCTTACATAAGAAAAACATACGAATCGAATTATTTCACAAACAAAAAAGCGATTGTAGCACTATATTTGCTCATTTTGAAAATATTTTTTCAAATTAATTGAATAAACTACTGAAAAGAAATTATAACATTAGCGTTCAAAACTATAGATATTTAAAAGTTAATGTTTGTGTTGTGAAGTATGATAAGGAATACCACTACCAATTCGACCATCACCATTCAAATCAATATGTGTTGCTTGTTCAATTTTACCAATAAGACCTAAAATAAAAGAGAAAACTATCTAGAATAAATAATATAATAAATTACCTCCACCTGCTGGTGGTCTGTACCCACCAATAATTCCATCATGATTAAGATCAATATGTGTAGTTTGTTCGATTTTACTCATTGGACCAGGTCCTCCAATTCGCCCATCTTTATTTATATCTAAACCTAATTGTTCTTCAATTTTATCCGTAATAAAATCTATTAATATACAAAAAAAAAACGTTTTTTCAGAATAAAATGAATATATACATACTCATTTTGGTAGTATATTTCTTTGATATGAATAAATATGAAACCTTCGTTAATATTCTCTTTTTCTTATATATATGTAGATATAAAATATACATTAATATGTTAGAAAAGAATAATATTTTTTACATAAATACATTATAATATAATATAAATTTCTTTTTCAATTATGTAGGAGAAATCAATTACTTATTGATATGTGTATTGAAATCTCGATAAAAACTTAATAACTTTTTCTACCTTTGATGTGGATATGAACGACTATAAATAGCTAATGGGTTCAAATAAAATCCCTTTACAAAATCAATAATTTAGAAGGAATTCTTTTTGTATTAAAATGATCTTTGAGTACTGAAATTATAACTGAGTTCTTGAGGATGATTGTGAGCAAGTAACTCAGAGCGATGAAAGTTACTGATTTTTATGTGATTTAATGATAAACTTGTTTTATTCTAATAGATAACTACATCAAATTAGTCATATTTGTGATCTGTAATATATTAGTGTTCATTTTAATACACTGGAAAATCTTGTTCCATATCTGGCACCATAATAATCGCCTTCCAACTGTGTTAGTTCATATCGTATCCGATGTTTTTCTGTTTCATACTCTTGAAAATAAAATCCATTTTCTTCATATTCTTCTCCGTGTTTGATGTGTATAACGAACTGACGCATTTTTTCTGATAGGTTGATGAAGAATTCGTTTAACCTTTTCCCATCTATTTCACTTCTTATCTGTGGTGCCGGAGTAAAATCGACTATCAGAGCGTCGCTTAAGTTTGGAAACATCTTGAAGAGATATTCTTCAATATCTGTCAATCCAATACCAGTAACATCGAATTCAAGTGAAGTTAGATTCGAACAATTTTCAAATTCATAAAGTTTTGGATACATACACAATGTTGTTGAGAGAGTTTTTAGATTTGGAAGGAATTTCAGTAAATGAACAAGATCGATATCGTGCACACGATGTTTAATAGTCAAGCTGACGATTGATGGTTGCTCTTGTGTGATCATTGAAAATGGAATTGTAATTTCTTCAACTGGCTCACGTGTGCCACACCAACCATTTGGATCCGGACGATTAATTTCTACATCAAAGTTGAGTAACAGTTTTCTAATATTAGTTAAACTCGATGTGCCAAATAGCAGTTGAAATAGCTGCTTCACAAGATTCCGAGTGGTTGGTGGTGAAGTAGAAGCAGAAAGAGAAAGTATGACAAGTTGTTGCAAAATGGAAGTAGATAGTTTCGGGAATAGAGCTACAGTAAGGCCATTGATCGAAAGACGTTTTAAGTTGGGAAAAGCAGATTGTTGGTATTTTTGAAAGAACAGAATAGTGTTGAGTGAAGCAACTACAATGAAAAAAACGAATGTTCAATTTTTCTCATAACTCAAATAGTATAAAAGATCGTCTTCTATAAGAAGTTATGTATTCCAAGATTTTCAACGGAATCATTCTTCAACTGCCAAAGATTAATACGTTAAAAATGCTGCCTCTTTTGGTTTTAGTTTGCTAAACTTACCACTATATTGATTCTTATCATCAAACACTATTAACGAAACAATTTTATGAGGAGGAAATGCATCGTCATTTGCCATGACCAACTGGCGATACTCGCTTTTTGAATAGTCTCCTAAATCAATAAAATGATCGGTATCATTAATAAGTTCATTGAGTCGTTGATTCACGTTCTTAAATGTTTGATATAGTTGTTTCGTTGTCATAAAGCTGAATATATACATTAATATTTCGTTGGGTAAGTTTTCAAATCTTGCATGTGCAACAGACATTCTTATAACTATTATTTTTGTTTTACACCGTGTTGTAATTTTGAAAAAAAGAAAAAAAGAGCAATATGCCCCCTGTGTGCCTTCATTCCATTGCACTATGACAACAACAAAAAATAAGTTGCAAAGCAGAACTCCATCACTTTTCTTTTTCTTTCAATCAATAGTGCGTAATTGCACAACATCATGCTTTTACGTACGACATCTTTCTATTTTTCTTTATTTATTGGATAAACTATTATTTGACTGAAAGCCAAATAGTATTGATAACAATTTTGGTGATAAATTAGTTCTATCTACATCATTACTTAGAACTATTATAGCTGATGCCTTTGGAGTTCCTGCACAACTATTAACATCACTAAATCTCAATTCATTTAAATTTATTGATTATTATGAATGTACAAATAGAATTCTTCTACACCCACCCACACCCACACTATACGTTAACATCATTCATTTACGTTCTTCACTATACTACACGTAAAAAATGACAGAACGAATCAATTTCTATCTTGCATCATATATTTGTAATTGTGAAAGATTGATATTTTTCTTTGCATAATATAGTTTCGAAAAGAAATTGCAAAAATGAAATATAGCGGTGAATAGTTTTGATCTACTGACCTTCGGATTATGAGACCGACGCGCTACCTCTGCGCCACACCGCTTGTATATCCTTTTAAGAGACTAACGAAAGATGGGTGAGGGTACAAAGAAGGATAACAGACTCTCCAACAACCTTTGACCTTCACACCCATATCCTTACAAAGTGAACATTCTTTTCACTTCGTTCATATAAGTCATGATTTAATTATACTCTTATTCAAAAACATATTTCTATGGATACAATCAAATAAATAAATAAACATATTTCAATACGAAGTAAAGATGTGCAGAAACATACAAACAAAATTCTTTCACGTACACTACCATTCACATTTTTATATTTTCGATTATCATTGTTCTTTACTTAATTTTGAATCGATTCTAAATCAGGTTTCTGTAATCGTTTTTTTACGTGGGAACCACTTTGTCGACGAAGATTTTCGACAATCTCACGTTCGATAAAAAACATAAGTAGCAATAAAACACTATGTAATATCATGTATTTACTACCAAAACTTTATCATGATGTCTCTTTCTACAAATCATAAAATACTTCACAAAACAAGAGAAATATGCCCCTTAGTTACTCACTAACTGATTAGTCACTCTTTTCGTTCTATTACTAACGAATATTATATATTATGGAGAGACTTTATATATAAATGAAAGAAAAGACTATTCTACAAATCATTTGCATCAATAGCACAATGACAAAATTCACCAATAAATGACTAGGATTTGATTTATTTATAATACTGTTTTCTCACTTTTTAGATGTGGTGTATTTAATAAAAATAATAATGCAACAAGAACAATCAATTTATACAATTCAAGAAAGTATTCCTGGTCGTATTTCTGCAACATCGAACGTTGAGATCGATGCAGTAAAACCACGGGACCAAGAAAAGAATAAAAATCAACAAAACAAACAATATCGAATTACACAACAACCTGCTAATTCCAAGAATGTGGACGATCACAATGGATCATTTTTTAACAATAAATCAACAATAAACAAGAAGAAAAAGAAACAAAGACGACCGCGTTGTTGTCGAAAATCTTTACAATCAGATAAAAAACAGTGTGATGATTGTGGCACATGGTTTTGTTGCATTGACTGTGATAGTTGTTGTTGTAGTTGCGGTAGCTGTGGTGACTGTGGAGACTAGGGTTCTAGTTTTCAGATAATATTTATTAATTTACATTTGTATGATGTTATGATAAGAATAAAAATCAAAACAAATATTTCAAAAACAAAGTTTACTGTTAATAAACACTGACATAATTCGAGAATATTAAAACACTAATCGATTAAGATAGTATTAAAAAAAATCTTTCTTAATATAGTTTATATTCTAGTTTGTAGCTCTGATAGTCAGACCTGTTATGACCATCACACAGATCGCATCAAATTGCTCATAGAAAGATTCGATCGTTGTTTTTCTACCAGCGTATATGATGTGAAAATCTCGTCCTTAACTATAACAAGCTAAAAAACAGAACTTCATATTTACTCATTAGATAATATTAAAAACTTTATTAATAAAAAGAAAAAGAGACAAATAATATTGTTTTAATTATTTACAATTGAATTATGTGTATTAGTCATATATGCTTTTTAAAATGTCATATTCAAAACAAATGTATGCCATTCAGGATGACTAACAATTCGATTTATTGTAATATTATTTTTAAGCCAACATTCACCATTTGCATCAACTGCTATGTTCTTATTTCTTACAAATCCCGTACAATTTAACCGTTCAAAACATGCTTTTGCACAATAACGTACATCAGTAAATAATGGCTTTTCTTCGAGATCTTGTCCAATGGAATTTTCAATAAAGAAATCTTCTTTATACCACATATTCAACCAACTATCAGTGAATTGATAATTATTTGTGTATGGACAATGTGCACATTCACCTAACTTAGCTGTATCGTAATGCCATCCTTGTTCACGATAATATGCTATTATTGCACGGCACTTGGAGGTATTACAATATGGAACTGGTGTTGATACTGGCAGAATGGTGGTAGCAGTATCAGTCATGAACATGCTTGAATCTAAAATATTATTAGAATTTTTCAAATGTAATTAGTAAGGGATGACAAATTATGGAAACGAAATATTCTTTATCAAATTTCATTAGATAGTATTCTGATCATTTTTCATTAACTAGATTATAACAACAACAAAAAAATTCTTATCGTACATATCCAAAATTTGTTCTACAATTAATTTTATATCCATCAATTTGAATATAGTTTAGTACTAAATACAAATATACTAATATGGTAATTTAGGATATAATGATCGAAGATCAAATATTAAACTTTAAATCGATTGAACATTTATGATCTATATTTTTTTTCTTCCATTGCCTTACCTAAGAGATATTACTCAAAAGAAGCAACTTCTGTTTATTTCTCGTTTATACTAAAATCATACTTTTAGTTGTTGTTAATCCGTCTTTTGTTCTCATCGTCGTCATCGTTGTTGTTGCTGTTAATATGTTTTCTGTTATCATTGTTGTCGGTGGTGGTGGTGGTGTTTCTGTATCGTTGACTTTCATTTTAATAATAATTATCGGAATAACCGTGCTCATTATTATAAAATTACAAACTATGATGTACAGAAGTTTCTTTCGAGTATATACACATCTAAGATAATAAATTATTTTCAGCATTTACAGAAGTTTAGAAATTATACATACGATCTTGTTGATTGATTAAGTTCTGATTCAATTTCATCATTGCTACCTAATTCAGACTAAAATAAAACAAAACAATGAGTCATTTTTGGGTTCTTTTCTAAAGATTTTCTTTTACTAACATTTATTCTGTTATGATTCATTAGTAATACTACGTCGAAGTTTATCGTTCTTTATATATTTTTATAATAAAAAAATCTAGAAGCATTTGTAAAAAGATAACACAATAAAACTGCTGTTCTAATAATTTTCTTTTTTTGCTAAAAATATCTGAAACAAAATATTTTCATGACAATTGACTTTATATGATAAATACGAAACAAGAAAGAAGTGACAAGAAAAAACGAAAAGTGAATAAAAAAAAAATTCTTTTCAAATCACGAATCTGTGTTTGTCTATATGCTTTACAACAGAAAATCCAGAATATTTTTGTTGTTTCCTTAACACTTAAAATCAGATGTATTTATATACATCTTAAGTGAGGAAACAGTTATCTCTTCGATTTTTTTCTGACTCATCATACTAGGATGGAACTACTTAATCGAAAAATTAAAAGTTCATCTTACAGTGTAGCGTTGGCTTAATATTTTATATGTGAGGTAGAGAATAGAAATCTACTGCAGAATACCCTACCCTATTTCTCATATACATTATAACTGAGTAGAGTAGTATGTCTTCCTTTTTTCTTTTTCTTTTTATTTGCAACACTGGTAACTGCCGTTGGTTCTATCAGTACAAAAAAAATGTAAAAGAGTTGCAGAAGAAGGAAATAAAAAGATAAATATTATTTTAACATAGGCCAATGTAAAAAAAAATACGAACAGTGAAGTTTTCCAAGAGAGCACCTATAACAGCACTGGGGAACCAATGCACTAGACAAGAAATAAAAATTGTCGTATACATCGACACTACAACAGAATTTTTATAAATTGAACAAATCTTTTATGCAATATACTAAAACATAGAGCATGATGAGCCAGATAAAATATGCTATTTAATTAAAAGACTTCATACTGGAATTTTGATATGTTATGTAACTCTTAATTCTCTACAAAATGGTAAAAAAATATTCGAGAAATTCAGAAGATGGAGGGATATCTTCTTCTTCTTCGAATCAGAGTATTGAGTCTATAATAGCATTATTCATATATCACAATAAACACTTTTACAGCACTGAGATATTTTCTACAAAACGCTTGATCATGCGCAACTCTCGAATGTTAATCGTTCTCTTTCTTTTTTCTCTAACTCCCAGGACTATATTTACCTGTATGCACTGGATGACTAAGAAAAATCTTATTTTTTTTTTCTTTTAACTTTCTGCATAGTATCTTTCTATTTACATCATAATCTATTAAGTTGAATAACTTTTGCTCATTACGAAATGCTTTGATATTTATGAGGCGTTTGAATACGTGGTTTATTTTGTAAGCCAAATGAGATAGTTAGTATCAGTGCTTTGAAAACGAAATTCTTTATTGTGTACTAGTATCTCAAATAATGTTAAAAATGTTTTCAACTGAGGGTATGGGTGGTAGTTGTGGGTATGAATGCGTGCGTGAGTATGAGTGGGCGGGTGTAGTAGTTATAAATACAACATTTACACCCACAGTACCCACACTCACACCCGCATCCGCACCAACACTTACACTCACATCCACACCCACACCCACACCCAAACCCACATCCACAGTACCCACACTCACACCCGCATCTGCACCAACACTTACACTCACATCCACACCCAAACCAACGTCCACACCCACCCTTAAGATCCGCAGCAAAACTGAAATTCGAATTTGCTGCATGTCTAATCTACGATTGCTACGATTTGGAGGTAATAGGTAAAATACGAATTGCGATCTGAGTTCTAAAGATCACTAGCTCACTTGTTCCCGCTCTAATTTTGTGACAAGAACTGTGAAAGTTTACTTCTTTTTTTCAAGTTGCATGTCTAACGAAAAAGACTGACTGTTATCGCAAAACAGAAAGAGAGAATGAATTTTTTTTAAGTTTCATCCTATAATGTAACATTATCTCGAATGTGTATATGAAAGTCTGATCTTATCTTTTACAAACAGAAAAGAAACCCCGCCAAGGTAAATAATTTTATTACTAGTTGGAAAGAAAACAAAGAGTTTTTACCAACATGAGGGTAGGTATGGGCGTGTGGGTGGGTATGGGTATGGGTGTGGGTGTGGGTGTGGGTGGGTATGGGTTGGGTGTGGGTATGGGTGAGGGTATGAGTGTGGGTGTGAATGCAGATTTTGGTGTGGCATAAAAATAAAATTAACATCCTCCCTCACTCACACCCAAACCCACCCGCACTCACACCCACCCACCCACGCCTACGCCCACACGCACACCCACACCCACAACCACAACCATAACCACAACCACAATATCAGTCTTTATTTCACAGTAGATAAGTTTTTAACCAAAACAACTTGAATCTGACTCTTAAAATTTATTTTTGCTTCAAGATCGCGCTTGCAAAATGTTTGCTCTTTATAGAAAGTATATATATATATATATCTAAAGATGATGTTGGAAGAGAACAAGGAAGCCGTTTCGTAGTCTATAAAAACGATAGTAAAATGATTTTTCACTTTTTATTGAACAAACAGCTAGAGAAATTGTATTGGCAAACAACTGAGCCGGTTTATTTCATAACGAATAGTGTTACGTTTGCAAAAGTAAATGCGTCATTAAAAAGACTACTGAATCATTATTCACCTGTCCACAATATTTTTATCTTACGATGTCAGACATACTAGCAGGGATACTAACCACTCGTCATATCTGATAACAAAAACACCTTCGATAGACTACACAGTTTTTGTATAAATGTTCGATGTAATAGATTAGTTTCTTTACGACACGTCAAACGAACACATTTCGTATTATTTAAACACTTCCAGTTCCAAAGGTAAGATTTTCATAGTCGACTAATATTTCACCCTCACTCTGGTCTTCAACAAACTACTGAGCGATTTTGTTTAATTATTTTGGACTATATTTTACACCAAATATGGTTCAAAACAATCTATACTAAATAGTTGAATAGTTTGTTCCCTTATTTTGACAAAAAAACGCGAAAAAACAACCATTCTTGGGTGCCTGGATTGTTGTTTCAAGCTGAAAAATGATTGTTTTTTTTACTACGAGGCCACAAAAATGGAAAATCTAAGTGAATTTTTTCTCATTCGTTTATGTATGACTTGAAAGAGCTTGGTGAGTTGATCACAAGTATATTGTTTTTGTTTTGGTCCGAGCACTGTTTGGCTAAAAAAATCACATACATCTCGAATGATTGACAATTGTAGTATTGACAGTTATGAACTTGTTTATGAAACTCAGGTATTTTCACCGAAAATGATGAGTATAAATTTTAAGTCGAATGTTTCAAGACTCCTGTTTCCATTGCAGACAGCTGTCTAGTACAGGTAGGAAACGCATCTTGAGGGCGTGGGTGTGGGTGTATATCAACTGTTAATCCACACCCACGATTTTGTTCAGCCAAATAGTGATCGGACCAAAATAAAAGCAATATATCCGTGATCGACTCGTGAAGCTCTATCACACTATATATAAATCAATAAGAAAGAACGTCACTTGATTTTTCCATGTTAATAACCTTATATATTTCCACATAGTAGTATCCGGCACTCGGTATTATATGCAATGGATTGGTTTAGTTATATACAAGGATTAGGAACTTTAGCTGGGGCTCTTCTATATTTATTTGAAGGTTTGTCACTTGGTACAATACCGATTGCTAGCGCAGTACTTCGATATGAACGCGATGGGACAAAAGATCTTACATGTTTAATAATGAAAGGATCAGCTTTATTTTCGATGTTATATTTTTTAATAATACTCATTGTTGATATGTATTACGGTTATTATGATGCATTTATTTTACCAGTATCATTAGTGGCATTAATCATTTTAACATTTTTACTTGTTTCACTTGGCCAACACAATCAAAGCGCATTGGATCGTAATGAATGTTTATTTGCATGCTTTCTATTTCAAACATTATTAATAGTAAAACTATCACATACATCATATTTTATGGTTGATAATACGTTACATTATCAAGCACCAATTAGCAACGTAAAATGGAGAGTATCATTAGCATCAATAATATTAGAATTGGTTCAATTAATGCCATGGACATTAATTCCATTTTTATTGTTTCCGAATTCAAAAAGGTAAAACATATTTTTTTTGTGAGTAGAATCTGCGAAGGAAAATTCATTATCAAAAGAGCAGTTGATACGTCAGAAACGAAGAAAAAATTAGGAGCAAATTGAATTATCATAAAGCACAAAATAAAGTTGCGAAGAGACATCAAAATCCGTTAGATTATTAAGATGGAAATTAGTCTCTGTCTTATATGAAGGCATACACTAAGTTTGGTGGATACGGCGTGATCAGGGAAACAGCCCCTAATAACGATGGAGGAGGTTCTTGGTCATAGTCCGCTGATTTCTCTACCGCTGTGTGATGGAGAAAACTCATGGTTATACTATTCGGAAGAGGAACATCAAAGGATTAGTCATTTATCAAAATATTTTCATTTGAATGTAAAATGACTGTGAACCGATTCGAACAAGACAAGTCAATTTTTTCTAGTCGCAATTACGGAAAAGTACCATATGTATATTTTTAAATAATTAGTTTTGAAGGAATGGCGGAATTACTCAAGTTATAAAAACTTGGTTTTTCTAATTATTGCCACTGACAAAAGATGCTCAGAAGTTCTAAGGGCGTGATAAAAAATCTTACAATGATCGGGCGCTCCTTTTTCTTTCTAGAGAATAGGGAATTTTAAATAATGCGAATAGTTCTCTGTCGTCATCGCTAACTCCCCGCCGCCTTCCCAGGTTAGAAGACCCTTGGTCTTCTATAATGTATCTGTATAAAAAATCTAAAGAGGGGTTTTCTAATATGTTCCATATTTTTTCATTATTTTTAATTAAAAACTTTTTTTAAAAACTTTTTGAGTTTTTCGCACTTTTGGAAGAGGTTTTTGGGTTTTAAATAGCCTAGCAATTAAGTTTACGTTGATTCTTATAGATTTTCGGCACGAAAACTCGAAAATTAGGTTTGTTTGAGCCTGAAAATACTAATTAAAGTTTTGATTTATTAAAATATTAAATAATTAAAAGGGAGGTCTTCTAGTATGTTTTTCGAGACTTTTCGCGAAAGGGTTCTTGTAAAATGGGAGTCTTTTAAGCTGGAGAGGGAGGGGAGTTACCACTATTTATGATTCGTTTATTGAAAAATGAATGAACAATTCATTGTTTTAGGTATTTAACATTATGGTCATTAGAATACGCCGATCTTATATCACATTTTATTGTTATCGTAACCTATGCAAATGGTCACAAAACAGCGGAATGGAATAATGTAATACAAACATATTTTGTTTTTTATATTATTAATCTTGTTACTTGGGTATTTCCATTGTTGGCAGTGTGTATGTTCAGTGATAATAATAAGATGATACCCCCGTGCCATGCAATGATTGTTGATATTATTACAGATATTCCAATGTTTATAACTACAATGGTCACACGTGCATATGTTCAGAATATTTATATATGTTTCGATATTGCGATTAAATTCATTGTTTTTGCTCGTGGTGTTATTTGGGTACCGTATAAAGTTTATCATGACGATAAGCCACAGCAGAACGAGGGGCAGTTGATATACGCCAATTACCCGCCACTCTAAATTTGTAACTGAGTGTGGGTGTTTGTTTGGCTTCGCATTTATATCCCATACACACTTACACCCAGACCCACCTTCAAGCAAGCAAAATAACATTTCATTATGATAAATTCAAAAAAAATTATGAAACAATATTATCAAATTTCTCTTGTCTTTTATACATATATATAAATCACTTTCTAAAATTGTACGAAAGTTTTTTTTCCTCAGAAATTCACTTAAAAATATATCGAACTATTTTCCGTCATCGATTTTATTGCATTACAGCAGACTGTATAAAATTTCAGTATTTAGCATATTGTCTTTTGCTTAGAATAAGGGTGAGAATGGTTCTCGTGTTCTTGTGATCCAGATCTATGCTTGATTCTGCTCATTGAAGTATTTAATTTACTTCCAAAAAATTTAATATAGGTCAAAACCAAGAATATTTTCTTTTCGAGAACTCTTCACATCATCTACCTATGATTAACACACTAAATATTTAACAAACAAATGTATTTTTTTGCACAATTCTTATCCAGATTACAAGAATAAAAGGAGAAGGTATCTTGCATTTTACTTCTTTCAACATCACCAATATTCATTTCACCGTTACAATATCTTTCATGTAAACAAAACATTAATGCTAATTATATTGTTACAAGTAATACTATTCCTTCGTTTTCGGAATGTCAACTTGTTGAAGGCAGAGTATGTTTTATTCGCGTTTCTTGTGATCGAAATACCAATAGTACTACATTTGGGTGTGCGTGTGGGTGAGTACGTACGATTGTAGGTGTAGGTGTAGGTATCTCTTCTTTTCTATCTTCTTTATCTATATTTACACCCACACTCTCACATCTTAAGTTTTCGATATTTTCTATTTCCTCTCTTATCTCAACCAAATATAAAACAGATGTTTTCCTCAAACTGACCACTGAGTTAATTACATTGACTGATGTGTTTTTGGATTCTCTACAAATTTCAGAAGCTGTACTTGAAAGATATTCAATATAATGAAAATTATGAACTTCTCATTAACTCTTTCATAGTTCTCTGAATATCACAATCAAAATAATGAATTATTCACAATATTTCTTTTTCCAGTGATCAATGTATAGGTATAAAAAGTCCTATGTAGCATTCACCACTGGAACTGATATAAAATATGAACTAGTGAAAAAATGATTGATTACTCTTGAAGTCTCTGATAATTCATTATAGAATTATTGATAGTTCATTAATTTATATAAATTCTATTATTTCGTTTTATCGACCCTATTTTCAGCCATATATCATAGTTAATCAAATATTATACTTAAGTTTATTGATATAAAAATACTTTTTCGTCAATTTCGTATTCACATCTTCTTCTGTAATGAACACTGTCATAGAAAAAACAAATCTTTACAAATATTCCAAACATAAGATAAAAGATTACTGTAAATTTGAAGATGGTATCTGATGTCTGATCTGTAGTTCGCTAGATCGTCTTATCAGTCAAGACAAGATAGGTGAGATAACTGCTCAGACGATTCATCTATTTTAAAATAAGTTTAGCATTGATGATTAACATTATTGCTTAAATCATTTTAGCGTAACTATAAATTAATATACGATTTCAGCTCAGACACAAAATATAAACAATATTGAATTATTATAAAACTATAATTCCTTATTCTACCAACCAAATCATATATGAACTTCTATTAATGTGTCATTCACTAACTAAACTGGAAACTTCAATATAGATAAATTCTTCATCTCTCTTTCGTTTCTGTTGTTAATTAACAATGAATATCACAAATCCATATTAGTCTATCTATTATATTGGTTTTCACTATAGCAAAAGTACCGATCGACACAAGTTTTATACAAATGAATGATACTTTGTCTGTAATTATAAATAAAATGAATTGTTCTAATTGATTTTGATGGAGTTTGAAATGTAAACAATATGTACTAGTACCTCTTTCACACATTTGTGTTGCTAATAATGGTAAACATACTACTTGTGATGAACAACTTGAATTATTAAAACATATTGAATTATTTGATGAAGATGTTTGTGTAATATTGTCACATCTTTCTAATATTGAACATAAAATACCCGATGCACAATAACTAATATTATTTATTGTTCGATAATCAAAACAAGGTGTTGATGATGAAAGACAATCATTGTTACCATTCAAGCTCATATTACATTGTTGTAAAGAACAATTTGATGTTTGATTCCATGCTGAATGAGATGATGAAGACAATGTAAACTGAATAGAAACATTATTTTCACTACAAGAATAATTCGGTAGTTGAGTAGTTTGTCCTATAGAATTTATTTATATTGCAATAGAGTCAAATGGAAAAAGATAATATTACAAACCCCTTACAGATGAAAGAAATATAGTGAAAAATAAGACAATGATAGATCGCATTATTTTTTGTGTAATGAATGAAAAAATAAAGTATGCACAACAATAAGTGATTTTTCTTTACTCTTTTTTCTTCATCACTTCCTGCATTTCTCTTTTAGTTGAAAGAGAATAAAACTGTTTTTCTCAAGGCTTGTCCAGGCATTTGAAATCAAAAATATATTTCATTTATTTTGACTATTTTATTCATTTAAATCTATTGAAATATTTACTTTGTAAACATTCCCTATATAAAAAAAACTCTTCTATGTTAATAATTTTCGTTGGTTCAACATTTTATTTCATGATTTATTTTTGTTTTCATCACAACTAAAACCATGACATTTCTTCAATCGAGGTTTAAAATACCATCAGTGGTACATACAACTTTTCGAAAACAAATAAAAAAATTCCGTTATACTTTTTATGTTCTTATTTTTCACCTAACTGTTATTTTTTGAAAAATATTATTCTTACAGAATAAAATATGAAATTAATTTAGTTATTATTAGTAATAAAAGTTTCTTATGAAAGAGTAATTCTTTATCTTTATATTTAAAAATAGCAAAATTCTTATCTAAAAAAAATAACAGTTCGACGGGTTTAGTTTATAATGGATACTTGTTATTCATGTACACTTTCTCAAATTAATTTGACGATTTACTTAATCAGAAAAAAATGTGGAACGAATTGTTCGATCATCAATAGCAACCAGTACGTTTAAGCAAGAAGAATATAGGGCAAAGATAAAGAAAAAGGTGTAATGTTGTGATTGAATAGGCGTGTTGGCCGGCAAATATGTAAGAAGAAAAAGTTCTTATCATAAAGAGAAGAACGAAAAAAGAAATATATATCTTTCTTTTCTTTATATAATTTCTTTGTTCACATTTACCTATCTCTCTATCTCTCCTCTTTCACACTCTCGTATACTCTCTTCTTTAATACTGTCGTTATCTCAGTGCATTTATAACACGATACATTCGTGTGCTGCTCAGTAAAAACATCTACGTAAATTATTCTAAATTCATCACAATGGGCGTTGACGTCATTGGAGAAATTAATTATCTTACTTCTACAACAGATGGAGGTACTCCTTGGCTAATACAGCAATCAGTACCAACGGGAAAGAGATCAAATTTCGTACAATCACCTATTCCTATAACTATTCATGACTTACGTGGCAAAGAGACAAGTGTTAATCTCGATACGAATGCCATCGAAGTGGCTAAATACAATGGTTCCATACAGGAAGAATTTGAAGATGGTAGCGAAGAACAAAAAGTTTATTATGACGAGATTAGTGATTTTCTCAAGAAGCGACTCGGTGCCTCTCGTGTATATGTTTATCATTATGCTTTTCGTTCTCGAGGAACACCATTACCTGATGAACAGTCCAATGACCATCATAGAAATCCTGTATTTTATCCTCACGTCGATGTCGATACGGTTGGACTTCAAAAGATAGTCGAACGCAAACTTGGTAGTGAAGATGGTGAAAAGACAAAGAAAAATAGATTTCAGATGATCAACATCTGGCGTTTAATAGGTTCAAATCCAAAAACGAATAAACCACTAACAATTTGTGATTATCGTTCGCTTGATATCGACAAAGATGTTCGTCCTCTTTTAATTTGTGGAGTCGGTGATGATATTACAGCTTACACATTATCGCCCAATGCTCAAGATGCTCACATGTGGTATTATTTGAGTGATATGCAATCCGATGAAATGTTCTTATTTAAGATAGTCGATACTAAGCCTGATGTTGCTCAATTTGCTTTTCATACGGCTTTTAACAATAACCATGTGTCTTCACCAAATGCTGAACAAAAAAGTGTTGAACTTCGTTGTTGGGTGTTTTATGATGATTAATAATAATATATTTATCACATTTAATCATCCTGTATAGTATAGCAAACATTATTTAATCGATAAGAGACAAAAAAAATATTATTTTGATTTTTCTTTATGTATCATTTTCTGTAATTAAATCATATAAATACTCAATAAAATTAACTTAAATAAAATAAGAAAAATTCATTGACAAGTACTCGAAAGAATATTGAATTTTTTTATTCGATGGTTGCCATTATCAGAAACATAAAGATTGCCAAATTGATCGAATGAAAAGCCTACAGGATAATTTAATTGATTTGTTTTATCCCCGCAACCATTTCCACCAACGACAACATTGCCTTCTATAGCTCCATTAGGCCATCGTACTATTTGATGATTACCGCAGTCTACAATATAGACTGTGTCAGATTGATCGACGATAACTCCATAGGGTGATGACAATTGTGTAGGATTATTTCCTTTTCCCTGACCGCCAGCTACGACAATGCCTTCTTTTGCACCTTCCATCCATTTCATAACACGATAATTATTCATATCTGATACATATACGGAATGATCTCGATCGACAAATACACCTTGAGGACCATTGAGTTGATCGAGACGATTGCCTTTTTCATTTCCACCGGCAACTACTATGCCTTCAGATTCTCCTATTCGCCATCGTCTAACTTCATTCTTTTTGTGATCGGAAACGTAAAGAAATCCATTCGTATCTAATGCTAAACCTCGACAATCGATATTAGAAATGATTACTCTACCAGTAGAAGCATTTCGACAAGACCATAACATGACTCTATGATTGCCAGAATCACAGATAATAAGATTATCACTTTCTTTATCGATAATTATATCCAATGGATTACTTAATTGATTCATTTGATTTCCTTGTCCATTTCCACCAGCAACGACTTGTCCATTTTTCTCATTCGATTTCCATTTGATAATACGATGATTACACCAATCAGTAATATAAATACTTTGATCTTCATTATCAACACATATTCCTTGTGGACTATTCAGTTGATTTAATCCATTTCCTTGTTTATTGCCTCCAGCTACAGTAATTCCATTATTGATCCATATTGCATCAATATCAGTGTGAGCCGAACGTGGTAAAACTAGAATGACGAAATGACATTCCGACGAGAGCTCAAACATTATTCGTATTTACCTTTTTCTTTTTGTTTCTCAACGTAGATAAGACGATTCCAATCGACTTGGCCAATTTGAGATGCAATGACGTCAATGTTATTTGGTTGAGCAAGTTGTTTCAACGATTGTTGTAATTTATTGATTCTCTCTCGAAACTGTCTAAGATCATTTTCAGCAAATTCATCTTCTTCACGTCGACGACGAATTTCTTGTGTTAAACTATCAAATTGTTTTCTCAATGCTTCTTTTTCATTATCAAGTAATTGAGTGAGTTGTTGACGAGCTCTATCAGCTGTTCTTTTGACTATTTCAATTGTTGAACTTTCCCATTGATCAATTGTAGAAAAAAGATCAGACGATGTATTCTTTAATTCTTCCATTTGATTGATTTGTTCGAGTAGTTTATCATGAGCTTCCACAACATCAACATCGAATTGTATTGTTAACTGTTGACGATGTTCATTAAAATGCTTCATACAAAAGAATGCTTTACATCCGATACAATTGCACATAGCTGCATTCTTCTCACATATCGAACATCGATTTGAAGATATTCCAGTAGCCATATCATAAATATATATCAAAATTTCTTTAGTATTTATCTAAGTAGAAGGAAGAAAAAGTCATTTGGATTCTAACAAATGTACGGTCATTATGCTAGAAAAAAAGAATCACCTAATCTCTATTTAATTGGGCAATATTTCATTTAGAGAGTTTATATTTTGATCTAAGAAATTAAGAAAATTTTCTTTCGTCTAATATGATACAACATAAATCTAACTTGAGTAAGCATGCGTCTATTTGTTCATGTTTTTGATTAGTCAAAACTCGCCAAGCAGTTAGAAACGAGTTTTCGGTTGATGGCGCTGTTGTACACGAGCATACAACAGTAGCTACCAAGACTTATTTTTTGGAATTTATTAGGATTTATTTGAAAAATTTAAGTACATTTTGAAAATAAATTCTATAGAAGAAATCAATTTGAAATATTTTGAATGTACAATTTTATGTTCTGTTAACTACAATGATCATGGATGTAGCTGCATGTTTTATTGTATAATTAGTTTGTGTACAAGTCGATACAAAAGTTCAATCAATTCAATGACACTCAATACACTTAAACCAATCCATCTAAATATAAATTAAAAATAAATTATATGATATAGATATTACTTACAATCCAGTTTGTCCTCCAATGGCTGAAAATGTATCGACAAAACTCAGTTTAGCTTCTTGTTTATATTCCGTAACATATTTACTACCACATCCAATAAATACTTTTAAATAATTCCTTTCAAAATAGTAATCGAAACGTTGTGCAAAATCGTCAGGAACTAATATACTAGTCTTGTTAGTTCCATTCAATAATATGGCAGCATAGGTTTCTATTTCTGCTTCAGATGGAGCTGATTGTGCACTAAGATCAGTACTGAAATCTGTATGTTGACATTGAGGAGTACAACGAGTGCACCATAATGTTTGTAATTCTTCACTAGCAATGGATTTTTGTTCAGAGTTGAATGCACATGTTACTTGTTCATTAAATGGATTACAAATATTTGCCGAGATAAGATGACCATCTAAAGTATATATATGTCGAGTAAAAAAAGCAGAAGGAAGAATACATGAACATTGTGAAAATGTATAGGCTTGTTCACATAATTCTCGACATAGTGATTCGGAATAGGCAACTGCTTGTGATGCTGTTTGATTAATAAATGTTGTCTCATAGAGAGAACGTAAATCATCAGCTATATCCGATGTGCATTGACTATAGGGAGCTGGTAAAAATGTTGTTTTACTTTTACGATACATTATTGAATGAGATAAACCAGGTTGAAGATAAAGACCATTTTCATTAGGTAATGGAAGTTCATCATTATCATGTAATAATACAACAAGACCAGCATCATAGGAAAGAGTTGGAAAATAACTTTCACGTGGTATATAAAATCCTAGTGAAAGGCCTTGTTTTAACACAAAAGTATTACTAACACTGTTTAATGTAAAGAAAGGTATTGATGTTTTCCAATTAAATGTATAACAATTACCAAATATTGATGATATAGAAGGAATAAATGCATTTGAACAATCAATTCCATTATAATTACAATATAACATTATGTCAGTTAATTGATAACCAGTCGATTGCCATTCTTCTATTTGATTTCGATTGAATAAATCAATATATAATGGTAATACCAGAGAATTGAGTATACTTTGATTGAATTTTACATAAGATGGAAATAATCGATAAAAGAAGTTGATTAATGATGTATTCACTCTATCATATCGATTTGGAGTTGCACTACAAATAGTAACAGCAGGAAAATCCATTGAAAGGTCCAAATTAATTTCTACTTTTGTTTGTGTTGGATATGCAAAATATTGTAGAATAGCTGATATGACGAAGTAAAACATGAGTCCTGTAGTTAATGTGAATATAACAATCCAGAATATACGATTGCATGTTGAATAAGCACGACCAACACTACGTAATCCATGAATAGAAGTTGCAATCAGATAATCAATAACGATTGATCGTCGACGTTGTTCAGTAAAATGTTTTTGTTCTGTTGCACCAATAATATTATCCATTGTTTTTATTAGATAAGTGAAACTATATGGAATAATCTAAAATATTTAAAAAGTTAAACCTAACATGATATTCCATTTCTTTTTTTTCTAGAGTTTTCCTCTATATTCTCTTGTCGACACTGTTTCTTTGCATTTGTTAATAACTTATATCAAATAATATTCAGATTTTCGAGGAAAAAGTAAAAAAAAACAATTTTGTGAGAAAAAGAGCAGCGAGTCATGTAACAAAAAAAATAATATTTCTGATTGTTACGTGCTATATAATTAATTTTTTTCTTTTTTGAATACTATTGTATATTTTGAACAATTACTTTCTTCTTCCGTCGGAAATTACCAATTCATAATAGCAATATACAACACGACTCAGTTTTTTTTGACACACTTTATTTTCATTGGTATAGAAAGAAGAAAAAATCTGATGACTTGAGAATTTAATTTTCAAATATAATATAATTAACTTGTATTTCATTCAAAACTGAAACACAAATAACATTTGAAAATGAGTAAGAATATATGAACCATAGTGCACTCTAATAAAACATTTTTCTAACGAAGAGAATAATTTTAATAATATATCCTAGGAAAGTTTTTTTCTTCTATAATTTGACATGAAATAAGCAAATAATGATCATTAATCAACTAAAGATTAGTATGATATCACTAGGTATTGAATAAACTTTATAAATAATAATGTACTTGTCAAATGTATCTAATTGTTAATGAAGATACTTTTTTGATTGATATATTTTCTTGCTGTCATTCATAAGCAATGGCTGTTCAATAGGAAATTAAAGTATAAATATTGATCATACATTTTTTATTATACACAAAGAAAAAGCAAATTTTAGGATATCAAATGTCATTGAGAATGCTTAGAGTGGTACACATTCTCCATTCCACACCCACACCCTCAAGATAACTAATTCTGCGACACATTTTCTATCACGGAAAAAAGACCAACCCAATCTTATCAGCGTTCGCATGATGCAACAAATTTTATCTTTAATGTGCGAACTGCAAAAACAAAATTCTCTCCATGGTTTCTTTCGTTGCTTCTTTTATCTACGTAGATTAAAATCGACTTGTCATATAACTAAAGAAGCATAAGAGACTTTTTTCTTTCTTCCAAGGAAGAAAAAGAATAGACACTTTAAAATAACTGTCTCAATTACTAATTCTCCGGAAACAACTGTATATATTTAATCATTTATAATTCATTTAAAATGCATCGCTTTACCGATATCGAATCAACTTCAAAACGACTACCACCTGTCTACGGATACTTGACTCATCAATTAGTATCTTTATCGAAAACTCTTGAACCGATCTTCTCGACAATTGATCAACTGGATCGTTTTAGTAAAATCGCGAAAAACGGATGTCATTTTCCTTCTGAACATGGGCTTAGTCGCGACGAGTCAGCTGCTATTTATCTTTATACAATGGAATGGGGAGAAGATAGTTTCCATCGAGTAATTAATCGTGCTCTACGTGCTGAAGATCGATCGTCAATAAAACCATGGTTTGCTTATCTTAAGCTATTCGATGTAGCTCTACAAAAATTACCCACGGTTCGAAAGAATCTGTGGTGTGGTGTTCCCAGAGATATAACAACAAACTTTAAGAAAGGCGACGAATTTACTTGGTGGACCATTAATTCATGTTCCACTTCTGATAATATTGTCAAAGATCTTCTCGGACCAAATTCAACATTATTTTTGATTGAGGCAAAAAATGGAAAAGATATTTCGAGTTATGCCAATTGTCCAAATGAAAATGAAGTCATTCTTTGCCCAGGCACACGACTTCGTGTTGTTAGTGATCCTATAGATCAATCACCGATGCATTTAATCCATTTGCAAGAAATTACTGATGAAGAAGAAGAAGAAGAATCACTATCGACAGCTCTTAAAACTGTGATAACCACGCCCACACCAACCACTGTTCAATCCTCACCGGTGCATATTCATACTGATCAATGGGGTAACAGATACGAAGGAGAAATGAAAGACGGAATAGAACACGGCAAAGGCCATATGGAATATACAAATGGTGATAAATACACAGGTATTTATGTCGAAGGCGACATAACAGGTCAAGGTGTCTACATTTTTGCTAATGGCAATCGATACGAAGGACAATGGAAAGATAATAAGATACATGGAAAAGGTCAAATGAATTATGCTAGTGGCGAGAAATACACAGGTGATTATGTCGACAACAAGAGGACAGGCCAAGGTATATATATCTTTACTAATGGTTCTCAATACGAGGGACAATGGAAAGATAATAAGATGCATGGAAAAGGTCAAATGGATTATGCTAGTGGCGAGAAATACACAGGTGATTATATTGACAACAAGAGAATAGGCCAAGGTGTCTACATTTATGCTAATGGTAATCGATACGAAGGACTATGGAATCATAACAAGATGCATGGAAAAGGTCAAATGACTTTTGTAAATGGTGATAAATACACAGGTGATTGGATCGAAGACAAGCGAACAGGTCAAGGTGTCTACACTTTTGCTAATGGTAGTCAGCATGAGGGACAATGGAAAGACAACACATTGCATGGAACCGGCAACAAGCCATATGCTAATAGCGCAGTAAAAGAGGAAATGTGCATAATCCAGTGATAATTTTATTCGCTAGTCATCTCAAATGACAAATTTTTCATGTATATGAGCCGATCTTTTTTCTAGATGAACTGTTTCTTTACGCAATGTCATTTCATCAATATTTCCTTAATAAAGCAATATTATTTTGATAATTGATGGTTTTGCATCTAGTCTGAGACTTGTTATACGGGTGCTGATTATTGATATACAGTATATCACCGCATATATAGAAATAGGTCAAAATGCACAAGGGAAATAATAACTTGTAGGTACGTATTATTTGCAGTATTGAATAAAGCTTGCAATTCATTCATCGTTTCAAGTATGTGTAACAGATCTCTAAATGTAGATCGCGCCGCAAATATAAACATATACCAAAAGTTAATATCTACCTTCTTACATATATGAAATAAAACTTAAAAGTGGCAATATAAATTGGTACGACGCAATTTGAACAGAAATCTATGCTTATGAATGATTAGCTCTAGTTCCTATCGTCCTCCTACTGCTTTATCCATTTTGTTTGCCAATTGTTCATAGTAGTATTTCTTGTATTGCTGTGTCTAATCTATATTAACAATTAATTCATATTCTTTAAAGATAATCTTCATCTACTTATATTACATTCACTGATATGGTGTGGTTTACGATGATATAGAATCCTCGAAAAAGTGTAGTCCGAGCAATGAAAAACTCAATCGATTTATTTTTTT